GCGAGACCGCGGGGGGGGTCCCGTGGGGGCCGCGAAACGTGCGAGGCGTGTGCCGACACATGGCTTGCCGAGCGTATGAACGTGCCAACTGGGGCCGAAAGTAGAGGTCCCTACGGGGCCACGGACCGTGCGAGGCGCGTGCTGAAAGGGCGCCGCCCAGCGTGGGGACAGGCCCACTGGGGCCCCTAAGTGGAGCTCCGCATGCGGCTACGAACCCTGTGAGTAGCGTGCCGAAATTCAGTCGCCCAGCATGCGGGCGTGCCCGCTGGGGCCGTAGGTTGCGCTCCCTGTAGGGCCAAGGAGCGTACTAAGGTTTCGCCTAACAGCCGCCGTTCAGCATGCGAATGTTCCCGCGGGGCCGCAGGTCGAATCCCCTAGGGGGCCACGACATGTGTGAGGCTCGTGCCGAAACGGCGCCGCCCAGCATGCGAATATGCTCACAGAGGCCTTCAGTGGAGCTCCGCATGGAGCCACGCAGCTTTTGTGGTGTGTGTCAACAGGGTGCCGCCCAGCATGCGACACAGGTCAACCAGACGCTTCGATGAAGCTCCTCGCGGGCCATAAACCACGTGAGGGGTATGCCCAAACCGTTATATCAGCATGCGGGCATTCCCACGGGAACCTTCTGTTGAGCTTTCTTATGGAGCCACGACGCGAGTGACGGGCGTGCCAAAATTGGTCCGTCACGCATGCGGACATGCCAACCCAACGTTTCGATCAAGCTCCTTGCGGAGTCACGAAACGTCTGGTGAGTGTGCCGACATGGAGCCGCGCAGCATGCCGACATACCGACTGAAATTTAAGTTTGAACTCCCTAAGGAAAATAATGGACATGCGGAGGGCATATTGTAATCTCTAAATATTAGCCAGGCAGGCTGTAGTCTCTAAGGTAATGCGAGGGCATGGACGGGGTGGGATTAGTCGGATGCCGACATACCGACTGAGGCCTCAGCCGGAATGGACATGCGGAGGGCAGATGCAAGGAGAGAGACGGAGTGAGGAGAACAGAGGCAAGGAAGAGAGGGGAGGGAGCGGTTTGGAAGGAGATGCGCAGCAATGCGGATTCAAAGCGAGGACTCAATTCGACACAGGAGGGTTAGGGAACCACTCTTCCTCCTCGTCTTCCTCGTCCTCCTCGTCCTCCTCCTCCTCCTCCTCCTCCTCTCCCATCCTCCTCATTCTCCGTCCCTCTCATGCGTGCCCGTCCTCCTCCTCCTCCTCCTCCTCCTCCTCCTCCTCCTCCTCCTCCTCCTCCTCCCCCTCATCCTCCTCATCCTCATCATCATCACCATACTCACCATAATCATCATCATCATCATCAGCATCATCATCGTCATCATCAGCAGCATCACCATCAGCATCACCATCAGCATCAGCATCATCGTCATCAGCATCATCATCATCCTCATCACCACCATCCGTCATCCCTCCTGCTTCTCCTCCTCCTCCTCCCTCCCTCATCCCCCTCCTCCTCTTCCTCGTCCCCCTCCTCCTCCTCCTGCTCCTCTCCTCCTCCTCCTCCTCCTCCTCCTCTCCTGCTTCCCCTCCTCCTCCTCGTCCTTCCCCTCCTCCTACTCCTCCTCCTCTTCCTCCTCATCCTCCTTCTTCTTCCTCCCCTCCTCCTCCTCCTTTTCCCTCCTCCTCTTTCTCCTCCTCCCTCCTCCTCCTCCTCCTCCTCCTCACCACTACCACCACGATCATCATCATCATCATCATCATCATCATCATCATCATCATCATCATCATCATCATCACCATCATCAGCATCATCATCATCAGCATCATCATCATCATCGTCATCGCCATCGTCATCATCATCAGCAGCATCATCAGCATCATCATCAGCAGCATCAGCATCAGCATCAGCAGCAGCCGCAGCAGCATCAGCATCATCATCAGCAGCAGCGTCATCATCATCATGCTCATCATCACCTTCATCATAATCATCACCAACAGCAGCATCATCATCATCATCATCATCATCATCATCGTCATCATCATCCTCCTCCTCATCATCACTAGCCTCATCATACTCATCATCATCAGTATCGTCATCATCATTAGCAGCATCATCATCGGCATCACCATCACCATCATCATCATCAGCATCATCATTAGTGTTATTGTCACCATCATCAGCATCATCATCATCGTCACCATCTGCATCGTCAGCAGCATCATCAGCAACATCAGCATAATGATCATCATTACCCCAGTGCGACCCTACCTAGAAGTTGGAGCCCCTAGGAAAGCAGCATTAGTTGCTATGCTATGCTATGCTGTGCCATGCTATGCTGCGTTATGCTATGCTATGCTATGCTATGCTATGCTATGCTGCGCTATGCTAGGCTATGCTAGGCTAGGCTAAGCTATGCTATGTCATGCTGCGCTGTACTATGCTAAGCTATACTATACTATGCTATTCTAAGCTGCGCTATGCTATGCTATGCTATGCTATGCTGTGCTCTGCGATGCTAAAGCTCAGCGAAGCTAAGATGAAGGTCAGCTAAGCTAAGATAAACCTGAGCTAAGGTGAAGATAAGCTAATCTACGATGAAATCAGCTAAGCTAAGATGAGATAAGCGACGCTCAGCTAAGCGGACGTAACTGGGGGAACCGCGGGAGGATACTGGGGGAACCGCCCGGGGCGCTTTCCACTGCCCGGCCCCTTGAAGCCCAGAGAGTAAGAACCCTTCTAGGCACAGCTTAGGTAGGGAATCATTACCCCAGTGCGACCCTACCTAGAAGTTGGAGCCCCTAGGAAAGCAGCATTAGTTGCTATGCTCTGCTATGCCATGCCATGCCATGCTATGCTGCGCTATGCTATACTATGCTATGCTATGTTGCGCTATGCTATGCTATGCTAAGCTATGCGATGTCATGCTGCGCTGTGTTATGCTAAGCTATGCTATGCTAAGCTAAGCTGCGCTATGCTATGCTACTCTATGCTATGCTGTGCTCTGCTATGCTAAAGCTCAGCGAAGCTAAGATGAAGGTAAGCTAAGCTACCTGAGCTAAGATGAAGCTAAGCTAAGCTAAGATGAAATAAGCTAAGCTAAGATGAGATAAGCGACGCTAAGATGAGATAAGCGACGCTAAGCTAAGGGGACGTAACTGGGGGAACCGCGGGGCGGATACTGGGGGAACCGCCCGGGGGGCTTTCCACTGCCCGGCCCCTTTAAGCCCAGAGAGTAAGAACCCTTCTAGGCAGAGCCTAGGTAGGGAATCAACAGCACCAACATCATCATCATCACTATCATCAGCATCATAATCATCATCGTCATCCATCATCCTTCATGCTCCTTCTTCTCCTCCTCGTCTTCCTCATCCTCCTCCGTCTTCCCTCCTTCTTCCCCTTCTCTTCCTCCTCATCATCCTCATCACCATCATCCTTAACCTCATCATCATCATCATCATCATCAGCATCAGCATCAGCATCATCATCATCATCATCATCATCATCATCATCGTCAGCATCATCAGCATCAGCATCAGCATCAGCATCATCCGCATCCTCATCCTCAGCCAGCATCATCGTCCTCATCCTCATCCTCATCATCCTCATTAGCATCATCAGCATCATCAGCATCATCACAATCCGTCATCCCTCGTGCGTCTCCTCCTCCTCCTCATTCGCCTTCCTCCTCCTCATCCTCCTCCTTTCCCGCCCTCCTCCTTCTTCCTCTCCTCCTCCTCCCCCTTCTTCTCCCTTCCTCCTCCTCCCTTCTCCTCCTCCTCCTCCTCCTCCGTCCTCCCTCCTCCGTCCTCCTCCTTCTCCTCCTCATCATCATCATCACCATAACCGTCATCATCACCATCATCATAATCATCATCTTCAGCATCATCATCACCATCCTTAACATCATCCTCATCCTCATCCTCATCTTCGTCATCATCAGCATCATCATCATCATCAGCATCACCATCATCATTATCATCATCATCATCATCATCAGCATCAGCATCAGCATCATCATCATCACCAGTCATCACCATCATCATCAGCACCTCCACCATCATCATCAACATCAGCATCAGCATCATCATCATCATCAGCATCATCATCATCATCATCATCATAATCATCATCAGCAGCATCATCATCATCAGCATCAGCATCAGCATCAGCATCAGCATCAGCATCATCATCATCATCATCAGCATCATCATCGTCATCAGCATCAGCATCAGCATCAGCATCAGCATCATCCGCATCCTCATCCTCACCCAGCATCATCGTCCTCATCCTCATCCGCATCATCCTCATTAGCATCATCAGCATCATCAGCATCATCACAATCCGTCATCCCTCGTGCGTCTCCTCCTCCTCCTCCTCATTCGCCTTCCTCCTCCTCATCCTCCTCCTTTCCCGCCCTCCTCCTTCTTCCTCTCCTCCTCCTCCCCCTTTTTCTCCCTTCCTCCTCCTCCCTTCTCCTCCTCCTCCTCCTCCTCCGTCCTCCCTCCTCCGTCCTCCTCCTTCTCCTCCTCATCATCATCATCATCACCATAACCGTCATCATCACCATCATCATAATCATCATCATCAGCATCATCATCACCATCCTTAACATCATCCTCATCCTCATCCTCATCCTCATCTTCGTCATCATCAGCAGCATCATCATCATCATCATCACCAGCATCATCATCATCACCAGCATCATCATCATCATCATCATCAGCATCATCATCATCACCAGTCATCACCATCATCATCAGTACCTCCACCATCATCATCATCATCATCATCATCATCATCATCATCATCATCAGCATCAGCATCAGCATCAGCATCAGCATCAGCATCATCATCATCATAATTATCATCAGCAGCAGCATCATCATCATCATCATCATCAGCATCAACATCAGCAACAGCATCATCATCATCATCAGCAGCATCGTCATCAGCATCAGCATCAGCATCAGCATCGGCATCAGCATCATCCGCATCCTCATCCTCACCCAGCATCGTCGTCCTCATCCTCATCCTCATCACTCAAGCTCGGGCTCGAGCCGTTTCAGGATCCTTGCCGGCTCGCGCCTTCCCCAGGGCTGATGGCCATTGTGCTGCTGGCTTGAGCGCTTCCGCCAGGTGTGCGGCAGTGAACGCTGGGGGGATACCGGTGCATGGTATCAAGGGATCCCGAGTTGCGCATCTTCGTGCCAGCGCACCTCGTCAACGGCGACCTCGGGGCGCGCGTTGCAGCGTTTGCAGCGCATTTCGGCTCACTAGACGTTGTTCTTCTCGATGGCGGACTCGCAGCGCCGGTTCTGCCACCCGCCGCCGCCGCCGCCCCCGGCACATGGCTGCCGGCAGCCCGCGGAGGTGGAGCAGCTCGAGCAGGCGCCGGTGAAGCAGCTCCCGCGTTGGGAGCGCCTGCGCCTCGCTGTGGAGGCGCAGAGGGCTTCGGAGGTACAGTCCGACAAGCAGGTGAAGCCGCAGGTGGAGGTTCCGGTGATCTCGCCCTTTTCCCCCCCGCCTGGGGACTTCAGATCGTATCCCAGTCCGGTGGCTACGGTGCAGGCGGTTTCGCCTCCCAGGGCCATGGCGGCGGATGCGGCGAGTTCTTCGGCGGAGCAGGGTACCGCTACGAGCACTACCTTTCCACCGGCGCCCAAGAAGAGGCGTCGCAAACACATGTTGAGCGACTACAAGCGCATCCTCAAGCGCATGACGGAGGACATGCCCACTGGTCAGGAGCCGGACAGGACGGAAATCGCAGCTTTGGCGATGGGGTGGTGGCCTCCTTCGCCGCCTGCTCCGGCCACGCCGCCGTCACCTCCGACTCCGCCAGCAGGAACGAGGATCCCACGGACGCCACCTCGGAGGTGAAGACCTTCTACATCGGCGACGGGTCCGTTCCCGATGCAGGTGGTGAAGGTGCAGCCCCCGACATGTCAGCCCTTAGTGGCGGTGTCACGTTTGACGGCTCTGGCACGTCAGCCGTCTGTGGCGGTGCCTCGGAGTCGCCTTTCGGTGTAGGCACGTCAGCCCAGAGTGGCGGTGTCCTGGACATGTCAGCCCATAGTGGCGGTGTCCATCACGAGTGGGATGCTATTTCCTCGTCTTCTTCTGTACCCTCGCTGGCTGCTGGCGCTACGGAGGTGGCCCCGATGAGGAAGAAGAAGAATCGGCGCAAGAAGAATAAGAAGAAGGTGAGTTCGCATGTGACCGAGCCCGGTCCGGAGCAGCTGCAGGTTTCTGGCGCTCCTCCGGACGCGATGCCTTCCATTTTTGAGGCCTCCCTTGAGGACCTCGCCACGGACATCCAGTCTGGAGTTTTTTCACAATGTGCGAAAGAGTTGGACGACACTGACGTTGCCTTGCTGGGCCGCTTCGTTGATGGCGAAGCTGTGCTCTCGGAGTTGCAGCAGCAGCCGTCGCTGAGGGCACCGGCGTTGGAGGTCGCCTCTCGGCTGATGGCAGCAGGTGCGAATTCGAATGTTGCTTTCCTGCCAATTGTGCAGGGCCTTGCGACGCAGCAGACATGATGTCCACTCTGGGGTTTTTATCTTAGCGAATGCCAGATTTTGTGATACCCTGGCTTTTATGCACTTTCATATTTTCCTGCTTGCCAATCTCTACGGAAGCTTGTCACAGCAGCTGCCTACAGGAAAAAATCCTCATCCTCATCATCCTCATTAGCATCATCAGCATCATCAGCATCATCACAATCCGTCATCCCTCGTGCGTCTCCTCCTCCTCCTCCTCATTCGCCTTCCTCCTCCTCATCCTCCTCCTTTCCCGCCCTCCTCCTTCTTCCTCTCCTCCTCCTCCCCCTTCTTCTCCCTTCCTCCTCCTCCCTTCTCCTCCTCCTCCTCCTCCTCCGTCCTCCCTCTTCCGTCCTCCTCCTTCTCCTCCTCCTCATCATCATCAGCATAACCGTCATCATCACCATCATCATAATCATCATCATCAGCATCATCATCACCATCCTTAACATCATCCTCATCCGCATCCTCACCTTCGTCATCATCAGCATCATCATCATCATCAGCATCACCATCATCATCATCAGCATCAGCATCATCATCACCAGTCATCACCATCATCATCAGTACCTCCACCATCATCATCATCATCAGCAGCAGCATCATCATCAGCATCAGCATCATCATCATCATAATCATCATCATCATTATCATCAGCATCAGCATCAGCATCATCATCATCATAATCATCATCATTATCATCATCAGCATCAGCATCAGCATCAGCATCATCATCATCATCATCATCGTCATCAGCATCAGCATCAGCATCATCATCATCATCATCGTCATCAGCATCAGCATCAGCATCAGCATCATCCGCATCCTCATCCTCACCCAGCATCATCGTCCTGATCCTCATCCTCATCATCCTCATCCTCATCATCCTCATTAGCATCATCAGCATCATCAGCATCATCACAATCCGTCATCCCTCGTGCGTCTCCTCCTCCTCCTTCTCATTCGCCTTCCTCCTCCTCATCCTCCTCCTTTCCCGCCCTCCTCCTTCTTCCTCTCCTCCTCCTCCCCCTTCTTCTCCCTTCCTCCTCCTCCCTTCTCCTCCTCCTCCTCCTCCTTCGTCCTCCCTCCTCCGTCCTCCTTCTTCTCCTCCTCATCATCATCACCATAACCGTCATCATCACCATCATCATAATCATCATCATCAGCATCATCATCACCATCCTTAACATCATCCTCATCCTCATCCTCATCTTCGTCATCATCATCATCATCAGCATCACCATCATCATCATCATCATCATCATCATCATCATCAGCATCAGCATCATCATCATCATCACCAGTCATCACCATCATCATCAGTACCTCCACCATCATCATCATCATCATCAGCATCATTATCCGTCATCATCGTCATCATCAGCATCAGCATCATCATCATCATAATCATCATCAGCAGCATCAACATCAACATCATCATCATCATCATCGTCATCGTCATCGTCATCGTCATCGTCATCGTCATCGTCATCATCATCATCACCATCAGCATCAGCATCAGCATCATCATCATCATCATCATCATCATCATTATCCGTCATCCCTCTTGCTTCTTCTCCTCCCCCTCCTTTTCCTCCTCCGACCTCATCCTTCTTCCCCTCCTTCTCCCCCTCCCCCTCCTCCTCCTCCTCCCCCTTCTGCTTCCTCCTCCTCCTCTCCCTCCTCCTCCTCCTCCTCCTCGTCCTCCTCCTCCTGCTCCTCCTCCTCCTCCTCCTTGTCCTCCTCCTCCTCCCCCTCTTCATTTGTCCCGGAAAGGGCATAAGCCCAGGGTTCTTTTTTAGTTTGTTTACCCCCGGTTTCGACTTGAGGTGGGCCTGCGAATTTCTTTTGCGATGAATATCGAGGTCGAGGTGGGCCGGCGAATTATATTTTGAGGATGTCTCGACCAAAACGCTTGTTTTGTGTTATCGATTGTCCTCTCCTGGGGGCCAGAATTCAGAGGATCTCTGAAGTGAAATGCTTGTTTTCACGTGCCCAGGTCTTGAGGATGTCTCGAGCGAGACGCTTGGTTTCACGCCTCCAGGTTGCCCAGGCAGAGGTCTAGCGCCAGGATTTGTTGAGGATGTCTCGAGCGAGACGCTTGGTTTCACGCGTCCTCGTCGGCCAGGCGGATGTCTAGTAGCATGAGGATGTGTTGACGAAGTCTCGATCGAGATGCTTGTTTGCACGTGTCCAGGTTGCCCAGGCGGATGCCTAGCATGAGGATGTGTTGAGAACGTCTTGAGAGATACGCTTGTTCTCACGTGTCCAGGTCGCCCAGGCGGATATCTAACATGCGAGCGAGACGTTTGCTCTCGCGTGTACAGGTCGCCCAGGCGGATGTCTAGGATGAGGAGGTGTTGAGCACGCCTCGAGCGAAACGCTTGTTTTCATGTGCCCAGGTCACCCAGGCGGACGTCTCAGGATGTGTTGAGGATGTCTCGAGCGGCGAACCACTTGTTTTCACGTGTCCAGTTCGCCCAGGCGGATGTCGAGCGAAACGCTTGTTTTCACGTGTCCAGGTCGCTCAGGCGGATGCCTAGCATGAGGATTTTGACAGGATGTCTCGAGCGAAACGCTTGTCCCCAGCACGTTCCGTAGCGCGTCCCCTTGGCACGTCCCGCGGTGCGTCCCCATGGCACGTCCCCTGGCACGCGTGCCTTGAGACGTTCCGCGGCGCATCCTCCTGGCATGTCCCCCTTGTCAATTAGTTGTGGGGCAGCTACTATGTGTTCCGGCAGCTCGAGCTTAAGATCCAGATCATTTCGGTCAGGACTCGGATGCAAAGGAGGACTCGATCAACGAGGCTATAGAGCACAATCTCGGCATGGCAGGCACATCGCAATTCAGCACGGCGCAGCACAGCACAGACTTCGGCACGGTACATCAAGATCGATACATTCAGCATTGCAACTTGGCACGTTCTTTGGCACGTTCCGTGGGGCGTCCTTTGGCGAGTCCCCCTGGCACGTCGCGTGGCGCGTCCCCTGGCACATCCCGTGGCACATCCATTGGCACGTTCCGTAGCGCGTCCTCTTGGCACGTCCCGCAGGGCGTCCCCATGGCACGTCCCTTGGCACGTCGCTTGGCGCGTCCTTTGGGACATTTCGCAGCGCGTCCTCCTGGCATACCTATACGACCACCCTGCGGGTGATAATGAGGTTGGGGGGGAGAGGGGGCCAACAATGGGCAACAGTGGTGATTGTTGTTCTGACGATGCCTGCGGGGCGGAGTCCAGCGAGGAGTGACGACGACGACGACGACCATCATCACCATCATCACCATCGTCACCATCATCATATCACAATCGATCTGACTATCGATCTCACAATCGATCTCACTATCGATCTCACAATCGATCTCACATTCGGTCGCACTATCGATATCAAGATCGATATCACAATGGATCTCACAATCGATCTCACATTCGGTCTCACTATCGATCTCACGATCGATATCTCTATCCATCTCATTCGATCGATCGCACAATCGATCTCACAATCGATCTCTCAATCGATCTCACATTCGGTCTCACTATCGATATCAATATCGATATCACAATGGATCTCACAATCGATCTCACGATCGATCTCACAATCGATCTGACGATCGATCTCACAATCGATCTCACTATCGATCTCACTATCGATCTCACAATCGGTCTCACAATGAACATCATCATCAACATCAACATCACCAACCACAACATCATCATCATCATCATCATCATCATCATCATCATCATCATCATCATCATCATCATTATCAGCATCACCGTCATCATCATCAGCACCATCGTCATCACCATCATCACCATCATCTCCATCATCACCATCATCATCATTATCATCATCATCGGGACACCGGCGGGACACCGCGGGCCACCGGACGCCCGGGGCACAATCGTTTGGTCCGGCCGCGCCTCAGCCACAGGAGACTTTCCTAACACCGGCGGGACACCGCGGGACACCGGACGCCCAGGGCACAATCATTTGGTCCAGCCGCGCCTCAGCCACAGGAGGCTTTCCTCTCGCCCGCCCACGCAGCTTCGCCTCGCCCGCACGCACGGCACGCACGAACACGAAACCGAAATCGATTTCCCGGTAGGGGGGCTCTCCGTTCCACTTCGATCTCTCCCCCCAACCTCCGATCCCCCTGTCAATTAGCTCTGGGGCAGCTACTATGTGTTCAGGCAGCTCTAGCTTAAGATCCAGATCAGTTCGGTCAGGACTCGGATGCAAAGGAAGACTCGATCCACAACGCTATAGAGCACAATCGCGGCATGGCACATCGCAATTCAGCAATGCGCAGCGCAGCACAGCCCTCGGCACGGTGCATCAAGATCGATACACTCCGCATTGCATTTGCCCGTCACCCAATCAGGTGTCTTTGAAAACGTTGCCTTGCGTTACATTTCTATATTCCTTTCCGGGTTCGTGGGTCGATCATGTTTCTCGTCAGTTCCTCCTTCGTACAAGGCTTGCAGGACCTTGCGCGGGTCGACCGCGCCCTCGCGCTTGCCCTGCCGTGCCGCCCCCGCCCCCCCGCCCCCTTTCTCGCTCGCGGGCTCTGGGGAGGCGACATGCCGATAAGGTATGGTACAGATAAGTACGGTACTGAAGCGCTCGCACCCATGTCTTCATGGATCTCAGCTTCCTGAGGCTCGTTTCTTCGTTTCGGGCCCTGGGGCACTAGAACAACCGTCTGGGAGGACAAGTTTGCCAGGATGGAGCCTGTGAGGCTCCTGGGGGCGATGTCAGGGTTTCCCAAATCTACATCCCCGCCGACAGTTAGATTAGTTGGGACTCCCCGAGGAAAGAATGGCCATTCAGTTGGCTCTCCACCCCTTAGGGTGAGAGCCCCTGGAACAAGTGCCCACCGCATGGTTTCTGTAGATTTAGCTGATCGCACGAGGACTGATGAGGGGGAGGCGGGTCGAGGGTCGAGGGTCGAGGTTTGGGTGGTTTTTGCTTGCTTTGGGGCTTTGGAGGCCTCCAGGGGCCTCGGGGGTTCCTGGAGACCTCCGTGGGCTCAGATCTTGCCTCCTCAGGATACGACCTCGGGCGGAGCTTAGAGGTTTCGCAGCGCCTCTGTCGAGCTGGAAAGGAAAGGAACAGGAAAAGGCTTAGATCTTCGAGTACTCGCAAGTCAGTATCGTTCAACCGACCCCCATCCCCATCCCCATCCCCTTCGAGACCCCCACCAAAGTACCCCCCCAGTTGGGGATACAGGCCACGCCGCTGGGGATGGGGATCGGTCAAACGATGCTCAGCAGGGACATCGCTCCAGAGGGTGCTCGCCGCTTTCGGCGTCGAGCGAGCGAGCAGGAAACCGTACGCCATTCGGCGCGTGGGCAGTTCAGACCAAGTGAAAATATAGTCTTCCTTTCTTCCGAATTGTTTACGAATTAGATGGACAAGTTAGTCAATTCGGTCGCGGCAGATTGGGATATATCCGACAGATCTATACAATCTGCTTTGGCCAATCGAACGTGCGCTGCCAGGGCAAGATGGCCAGTGTGCAGCGCGGCCGTCAAGCGCAAGCTTTGTTGCAGACTGATGCCACGCCCGTTCGTCTGCCATGCAATCGACAAGGGCAGAATCGGAGCCGAAACTAGTGCGAGTCAAACTGTGCAGGCACTTCGTCCACTCATGCCGGGGGCACCCAGGCGCCCGTCTGACAGAAGCCGCTTTCGGCGTCGGTGGGCCGTTTCTCATCCCCTCGGCAGTCCACAATAAAACCAGACTGGGATGCACAGCCTGTCCTGGGGAAGGGGGCGAGAGTGCTCAGATCTTCGAGGACTCGACAGAGCATCGCTCACCGCTTTCAGCGATTTTCGGCGTCAGGGGGCCGTTGCTGGTCCCCTCGATCGTCCGCAGTAAAACCAGAGCAGGATGCACAGCCTGTCCCGGGGAAGAGGGCGAGAGTGCTCGGATCTTTCTCGGATCCGCGCTTGACCCCCCTGGCGGCGCCTCCGGCGCCGCCCCTGGCGCGCTCCGCGCGCCAGGGAGGGGGGTCCAGCGCCGATCCGAGAAACCCGCGTGGACCTCTGAGCTGTTATGTTTATGCCATGATTCGTGTGCCTATCGAAAGAGCATCGTTCCAGAGAGTGTTCACCGCTTTCGGCGTCAGGGGGCCGTTGCTGGTTCCCTCGACCGTCCACACAACAAAACCCAGACCAGGCTGCACAGCCTGCCCCAGGGACGGGGGCGAGAGCTCGAGGTTCCAGCGACCCGAAGACGGTTCGAGTCGCGAGGTTTCGAAGTCTCGAGGATCGAAGTTTCGAGGTTTTCGAGGATCGAGGTTTCGAGGATCGAGGCTTCGAGGTTCGAGGAACGAGGTTTCGAGGATAGAGGTTTCGAGGATCGAGATTTCGAGGATCGAGGTTTCGTGGTTCGAGGATCGAGGTTCGGCGCTCGAGGATCGAGGTTTCGAGGTTCGAGGATCGAGGATTCGATTTTCGAGGATCGATGTTATTTCGAAGTGTAGATGCGTAGCGAAACATCCCGTCATTGACTGTTACATCGAATCGACTGTGCTCTGCTCGGGTCAGGATGGGGCTGGAACGGCCTTGTCTTTGAATCACGAGCTGGGAGTCAGCGCAGATTCGTCGGTGCTTACCTTGAGGTCCTTGAGGGCGCTCAGGGTGTGTTCGGGCAAGGGAAGCTGTCCGCCGCCACCACCACCACTAAGCCTTCTTGGGCCCAGTTCGTGCCTGACGGTGGAGGAGGAGGAGGAGGAGGAGGAGGAGGACCGAGGAGGACCGAGGAGGAGGAGGAGGAGGAGCAGCAGCAGCAGCAGGAGGAGAAGGAGGAGGAAGAGGGAGGGGGAGGAGGAGGAGGAGGAGGAAGACCAATGATAGTAATACGAAGACTAATACTAATAACAGTATTACTCCGATTATTCAGAAGAAAAGTAATAATGGTAATTCTAGTAAGGAGAATATTAATAATCACCCAGATATGAATGAACATACGAATAACAAGAATACGAAAGCTAAGACGACCAATATTAATAATAATACGACACATAATTCTGATAATACGAAGAAACATAAGAAGAAGAGGAGGGGAGGAGGAGGAGGAGGACGAGGAGGAGGAGCAGGAGCAGGAGGAGGGAGGAGGAGGAGGAGGAGCAGGAGGAGGAGGAGGACCAGTGTAAGCCCAAGAGTCATCAACGATGTTTGAATAACCCTCTCTCCAAGCTCCCTCTTCATAGGCCACAGCAGCGGTTCATTTCCATTGAGGGAACTGCCTCGTTGGAAGACAACCGGTTGAAGACCCTGAAGCATGCCAAAATATTGTTCTCGGGATTCCAACGCCACGCTCTAACCTGCCTGCTGCGTCTTGCTGCGCCTTGACGATGCTGAACCGTGCCAGAATGCCAGTCCTGGGGCTTCAACACAGCGAAACAATGTAACTGTTGCACCCGCATAATCATGAACCCTTTCAAAGCACCCTGGTACGTTGATGATGGGAACCCGTGACACTCTTGCAACTGTTAAGAACGAATGTGTGCCGCGCTGAGGCGAGAGCCACATCTTGAAACCCACCCGCCCTCGGATCGTGAAGCTCTCGCATTTCTGTTCAACGAATATGCGCCGCGCTCAGGCGAGAACCACATTTTGAAAACCGCCCGCCCTCCATCTGTGAAATGTTGTTAATGTTTAAGCTTTAGAGCCATAAATGGTGAGTAAGTCTCAGGCGAAGCGGTGGGCCCGCCCTAAAAGTTTGCCTCGGGGCCCGCCCTAAAAGCTTGCCTCTATAAAGAAGAGAAGAGGAGGAGGACGAGGACGAGGAGGAGGAGGAGGAGAAGGAGGAGGGAGGAGGAGGAGGAGCAGGAGGAGGAGGACCAGTGTAAGCCCAAGAATCATCAACGATGTTTGAATCAACCCTCCCTCCAAGCTCCCTCTTCATAGGCTACAACAGCGGTTCATTTCCATTGAAGGAACTGCCTCGTTGGAAGACAACCAGTTGAAGACCATGAAGCATGCCAAGACATTGTTCTCGGGATTCCAGCGTAAGAATAGAGTAATACTAGTAAGAGTAATCGTTCTCCGGGTAAGAAAATAAACGCTCTTATAGGAATGAGCATACGAATAACACATGCGAAAACTAAGACTAATACCAAGAATACTACGAATACGAATAGTAATACGAACCACAATTTGATAATAATAAGAAACATAAGAAGAGGAGGGGAGGAGGAGGAGGAGGAGGAGGAGGAGCAGGAGCAGGAGGAGGAGCAGGAGGAAGGAGGAGGAGGAGAAGGAGGGGGAGGAGGCGGAGGAGGCGGAGGAGGCGGAGGCGGAGGAGGAGGAGGAGGAGGAGGAAGAGGAAGAAGGAGAAGGATAATAGGAAGACCCATTATATCATCAATAAGAACAGTGTTACGAATACTACTAGGAAGAAGAAGAAGACTAATATGAAAAGGAGGAGATTCCAGGAGACTACGAGAAGCTATCTCTTCACCAAGGCCTGGCCCCAAAAGATGGTTTGCGGAGGATCCGTGGTGTCGAAGCTTCCCCTCCCCCTGGGCGACACGCCCTGCTCGCCTCGGTGGGGGCCGACACCTCCGCGCTTCAACTCGGCGGCGAGCGCGGGGGGGGGGGACGCGAGGGGGGGCGGGCCTGCTCAGAAGGCTCGGAAGTCCCCCAGCCTTCTGAGAAGTTCCCCAAGCCTTCCCCGAGGACGCAGAAAGCTTCTCGGAAGGCGCGAGGGCTTCTGAGAAGTCCCGCCACCTATTGAGAAGGCCTTCTCCTTCTCGCTTCCCCCCCTCGCTCGCCGCCAGTTCATGGAACAACTGTAGCGTGTGGACCGAGCGACGGCCACCCAGGCATACCTGGCCGTCGTTGGCAGTCGGTGTGGTGGTCGTGGGTCCACTCGTTTTCGGCGCCGCGACCAGGGGGGCTGTGGCGCCATCATTGACACTGGCACGTCCCTGTTCGCGGTGCCGACCACGATGTACAAGAAGATATACGACCTCCTGAAGAATTCGGACGCGTTTTCTGTTGTTTCTGCTGCCATCATCCCTACGCCGCTCTCCTATCGGGTGAGCGGCACGCCGTTCGCTTCCCTCCTCTCCTGTTCCTCCCCGCATCTCCCCTGCCCGCTCACCCCCCGCCAGTTTGCGCTGCCCCCTTCGCCCCCCCCCCCCCGGCACCTCGGGGGCGGCCAAGAGGGGGGTGATGACTGGGGGGGGGTGGGAATCATGGCGGGGGCCATGATATCTCTCCAGATTCCATGGCGCCTCTTGTTATTTCAATGCGTCCCCGGCGCCCCCTTCGGCCGCGCACATGCCGCCGGCCATGATTTGCGCCCCCCTTTGCACACCCCCCTCTCGGCCGCCTTCGACTCCCGCTGCCCCACCGTCTCCCTCTCCCGCGCTCGTCTTCACTCACCGGGCGCGTTCCACTACTGGCACAGTGCCCGCTCGCAAACGTCCGACAAGAACAGACGTCGGCCTCGACGCAGTGGATCGCAGATCCCCCTCGGCGGGTCCAGGCCATCGGCGAGCAGAGCCTCTGCGAGCAGTGGGGCGCGCTTGTCTACTCACCCGGGCGCCAGGGCAGCCGAGCGGCTCCCCACCCCTCACAACACGCGGGGAGATCCCCAGGTCTCGGGCCGGACGAAATGGGGGGGGATAGGGGAAGGGGGGGGGGTACGAAATCGGCCGCATGCAGCTGGTTTCGGCCCCACCGAGGGGCCCATGCCTCGATACATGGCCGCCTCCTGGCGCCAGGAGGCGCCAGGAAAACTAGCTACGTGAGCCCCCCCGCCGGGTCCTGCGCCGCTCGCGCTGCCTCCCCAGCCGCGCGCCCCGTGCGGGCGGGGGGGCTCCGGCGGTGCCGAGCGCGGAGCGGCCTGGCCCGCGGGGGCCGCAGAGCCCGAGCGCGCGCCCGCCGCGGCGCTCGCTGCGGCGGTCGTGTGTTTTGCGCGGCTCGCCCGCCTTGCCCGCGACTGTGGCCGACGCGGGTCGGCCAGCGCGCGGCCGACCAGCCGAGCGAGGGCGCCCCCGCGGCCCGCCGCGGCCAAGCAAGCACTCCGCCATTCCGACCCCCTGCAACAGGGAAGGGAGGGAGGAGGGAACGTGCCGGCCGTGCGGGCTGCGGGGAGCTCTCGTGGCAGGGGCTGCCGCCCCGGCGGCGGTGCTTCTGCTCGGCGGGGGCCGGGCGGGCGGGGCCCGGGCGCAGGGCCACCGCGCGAGGCTGCCGCGGAAGTGTCACACTTCAAGTGTGCGTCCAGCCGGGGGGCTTCGGTAGCAAATCCGCGTCGATGCGCGGTTGGGAGTCGATGAGGCAGCGCCGACATAGTGTCGGCCAGCGTCGATGAGCGTCGTTTTGGCGTGGATAGCGTCGATTAGCGTCGATTTACCGTCAACTCGGGCATGTCCCTCTACCGGTGGAAATTCCAAGAATAGTGAAACATAACCCGAAGAAGCAATTACAGAACCCCCCCCCTTCCGGCGAAACGATGACGATAACCGTCCCGCACCTTGGAAGCGTTATTCTGGCACCTGTGGCTAGGAGGAGGAGGAGGAGGAGGAGGAGGAGGAGGAGGAGGAGGAGGAGGAGGAGGAGGAAAAGGAGGAGGAGACGGCGATGGCGACGGCGACGGCGACCAGGCGGATCGGCCGACTCGCCTTGGGAAAGGGGACGGCAGGGAGGGGAGGGCGAGCTTAGCCTGTCAGGCAGATGTTGTGCTGAGTTTCTCTCAGCAATATTCAGGCCGCGGTTCAGAGATTCAGCGTTTCAGCGCAATACTTCTGGCCGCAGTTCCCGCAGGTTTCAAGCTGAGGACTCGCTCAGCGAACTTCAGGCTGGAGTTCCGGTCGCCTTTCCAGGCCGCTTCGAAACCATCGCCGTCATCAGCATCATCATCGTCGTCACGGTAGCAGTAACAGTTACGGTGTCAGCAGTACTTGCAACACTCGCCTTATTATCATTGTTCTTATTTGCATGTTTATTATTATTTGTATTATTATTATTTTTTTATTATTATTGTTATTATTATTATTATCACAATTCCAATTGGGATGCCATCCGAGGCGGGGCGCAGGAATTATTTATTTTCCTTTCATTTGCGCGATGCTAATTATATCGTCCGGCCAAAGCCCCCCCCAAAAATAATGATTGAATTACGGCGCGGCGCTAATGATGACGCCGGGGGGGGGGGGGGGGGTCTTAATTGCTTCTCCGGGTTAGTCTGGTGACGATTTCGAGTTTTTTTTTCTGCGTTGTCTAAGCATGTTCTGCGTTTTGATTTCGTTTGGCTGTTGTACATTCAGTTCTTCCAGAATCTGCCGGCAGGAGGACATGTCCGACCTAATTCCAGCGAGGGGCCCGGCACGAACGGAATGGGTACATAAAGAATGGGTACAATGCCCAACAGCAGTTCCTGATCATTTTGAACAGGGCTCGTTGTCCGCGCCGCCGCGGCCTGTGTCCGTTTGAGACACAAAAGGCCGCCCGCCCAACAGCGGCCGCCGTTGGCTTGGGACAACATTTGTTGTTGGGCATTGTACACATTTTGTCCGCGCCCATTTCGCGCGTCCAAAAGGGCGGGCGTCGCCCGCACTGGTGCTTGCAGGGTCCCAACACCGTGCGATAACGGACCGCGCGGCGAGGCTTCTTGGGGTTCCGAGGTCACTGCACGGTCTGTCACCGCGCCGTTTCGGGACTCAAAATAAGTCCAGCGGGGGGCGGGGGTCGCCCGCACTGGTGCGCGGGAGCCTGCCGCTACACCGCTGTGGGGCGCAGATGGCGGCTCTTGCCGCGCTCGCGCAGCAGCCTCTTTGTCCTCCTCCCTCCTCCTCCTCCTCCTCCTCCTCCTCCTCCTCCTCCGCCTCCTCCTCCTCCTCCTCCTCCTCCTCCTCCTCCTCCTCCTAGCCCATTTGGTCGAGCACCTGCTTGCCCGTGGGCCGCACGGCCGCACTTGCGGCCGCCCCCCCCCCCGCCGCGTTTCCATGGTTTCGTCATCGCGATTGGAGTGGGTGATTCAGCAGCTGCTGCTTGGTCGCCAATGCAAGGTCAGGATGAACAGCCACGAGCACAAGTTCGTCCTCACCCTGGTCCTTTCAGCCAAGTACGACGCTCGGATGGACAATGCCATCACGGCGTTGCTCATGGAAGAATTTCGGCTGCGCTTGCCGTACTATGTTGTGGTCGATCATGGGCACCAAACTTTTGCTGGAGAGTCGCACGTCAAGCTTATCTTCCGACACCGTTTTCTCCCTCATGCAGGTGCGGACCACGACCATGACGATGATGATGGTAATGACCCCCCCGATGGAGGTGATGGACATGATCATGATGCTGGAGACGGGGCTGCTGGCGGTAAACGGCGTGCTGCTGAGGGTCCTCATGGAGGCCCGCCTGGTGATCCTCATGGGACGGCGCGTAGCAGTGGACCTGGCGGTACTACGTGCACGCGCCCGAGTTCCGCGCGGAGGCCGTGGGCGATGTTCACATTTTGCTACGAGAATTGGTGCCTCATCAACAAGATGTTGCTGCTGAATGTTTTATGGACCGCCATTGTGATTCTCATGGTGGAATGGGGGCGTCTGCTAGTGGAGGGCATGGTGAGCTTCATGGGGAACCTGGAGATCATTGTGATCGGTCTGGAGCTTTTCTACAGCCTCCTGGAGGTCATAGTGCGGATCCTGGCATGGTGGGCCTGGGCACTGGCCGAGAGTCTCGGTGATGAGCACTTTCTCTACGACGTGGATCGTCCGAAGGATGACGCACAGGAGGATGTAATCGACGGTGTGCATTACGAATGTGGTGATTTTCCCGTGGCGATCGCGCGGCGCGTGGAGCTCGATCTTCTGGAGGAGCCGGCTCTTAGTGTGGAGCCTAATGTTCGGCGGGTGGATCCGGAGCCTGGTGGGGAACCCGAGCTTCGTGAGGAGTCCGATCGTCGTGTGGAGCCTGATGCTCGACCAGGGGAGCTGGATGGCGATCATCGCGCGGAGGGCGATGTTGGAGTCGAGCCTGAGCTGTCCAAGAGTGCGAGACGGAGAGCGCGCAGGCGAGAACGAGCTGCCGAGAAAGTACAGGATCCTCTGGATGATGTTCCTCGGGTGGCGCCTGATCTTCGTGAACTCAGTGGGGGGCCTGATCGACGAGGGCAGTTTGGCCCTCATGTGGAACCTTATCTTCGCGTGGAGCTTGATAGTAGCGCGAAGCCTGAACTTCGAGCGGAGCCTGCTCTACGCGTGGAGCCCGTGGAGCCTCATCGTCGTAGTTGCTTTCGTGTGGAGCCTGATTGGCGTGTGGAGCATGCTACTATGACGTTGAACGGGAAAAGTCGAACTGCTCGTACGGCGTGGGCTGACGAATGTGACGATGACCAACAGTTGGGAGGTGATGGTGTTCAGGCGGGCGGGCAACATGATCCTGATGGTGGTGATTATGGTTTGCATCCCAATGCTCAACGCTTGGAGCCTGATATTCGTGCAGTTCCTGGTGGTCGTCGTACTCGTGCTGCGGGTGTTCATTTGGTGGAACCTGTTCCCCGCGCCGTGCCTCTGGGTTCTCCACGTGCAGAGCGGGGTGTTCACCACGGTGGAAGTGGCGTTCATCGAACTGTGGAGGGCAATGGGCCCAAGGGAAAGTACTTCAACGTTGTCTTGCAGTTCACCTGCGGAGTCGATCGGGATCGACGTGGACCCCTTCCTGGACGGGCAGATGCTCAGGATCACGGGCATCAAGGACGGCTCTTTGATCAAGCAGTGGAATGCGACCAACCCGACCCAGAAGGTGAAGGTCATGGACATGATTGTGGCCGTCAACGGCATGGGCGGCAGCGTGGACGTCATGGCCGACGAGATTAAGGAGAACACCGCGATCGTGCTGCGCATCCTGCGTGGCCCTGGCCACGGCGGCAGCTGAAGGAGGGAGTGGCTTCGGTGGTCTGGCCCTTTTACGGGTCGGCACGGCCAGGTGGGTGCCTCGTTGGGGCGCCCCTGGCGATGCTGCATACCTCAGCAGCTCGCGA